ATGGAGGAAGAATGCAGGTGCAGGGGGGCTCTGTCCGCGGCGCGGGCCAAGGAGGCTGGCGGCTGCGTGCTTCCCGGCTGGGCCCGGAGACAGCCGCTGCAGGGAAAGCCGGCTTTGCCTCCTGCAGCTGGCTAAGCGCTCTGCTACCTTCAGTGGGGGTGACGCATCGCTCGGGCCTCTGTCCTCGCAGCGGCTCTGGCTTATTTTTATCCCTGGAACGGGGCTCAGTTGCTAAAGGGTGACCTTTCTCCACCTGCAAGGCCCTCCTGGAGGAGGAATTTTGTAAAATTCATCTTCTGCTATTTGCTCCCAGCAAGGAAGCAGAGGGCACCGACGCTGGAGAGACAGGGACAGCGCTGGCGTGGGCCCAGCAGGGGAAGCGGGGCCTTGGGGACCGCGGAGTGGCGCTGAGACATTAGGGAGCTGATGCGAAGGCGATATGAGGACAAGGGGAGGGGGAAGGGCGAGTGTGCTGTCCCCCCCCCCCCCCCGCCCTTGTCCTGCTGAGAAAAGCACAGCCGACTGCCGACAGGCCTGCGGGGCCTCATCTGGGTAATGAACCCCATTTTCCCTGCAGCCCAGCGCACGGGGTCTTCATAATCTGTCAGTCAAGACGCCCATGGCCCTGCTTTTGGCGAGGGGTGGGTACTGGCCCAGGCCAAACGGAGAGTGGGCCCGGAAGGGTCTGGAAACACTGGATTCAGCCATTCTGACGGCGGTGCTGGGGTCGGGGGGAGGGATGCCCCCCAGGTCCCCGCAGAATTCCCGGCCAAATCCTCATCGTCATCTTTCTTCAAGTCTGGCTGCTTTCTTGAGTTTACGAGCCACCCCGTGGCACTTCAGTAAGCTCCTGTCTTTCACTTCAGTTCGGCAGAGTTGGTTTCTGTTATCTGTAATTAAGATCTCAAACGAACCCAACCCCAGATGCCCAGCGAGAGAGGCGCAGAGCCCCAGGACACGCCACGGCACACCACGGAACACTACACAGCCAGGCACAGTGATGAGATACGTGTGTATTTGTTGACGGGGAAAGAGGTCCACAATACACAGTTAAGTGCAACAGCAGATTATAAGAAAATAGTATGCATAGTATGATACCATGTTCCAAAACATAGATTCTATACATTCATAGAAAAAGGTCTAGAAGAAAATACTTGCGTAACAGTATCCATTCTGGAGAGACGGATGGTGGCGTTTTCTGTCTGCTTTGCTTTATTTCCTAATCTGTCTATGAGGTTTCTGTAGGGAGCTGTTTTTCCACATGAGGGCAGGTGGTGGCAGGAGCCCCGCTTTCCTGGACGCCAAGCAAGCGTGTGGTGACCTGCCCCTCTCAGACCGGGGCTGCTCACGATGGCTGTTTGAGATGATCCCGGGGCCGGGGTGGCGGGGAGTGTCCGAGTCCCCGGAACAAGGAGGAAGCGCTTCCTGTGCCCCTGGCTTCCCACTTCATCTTTTGACAACCTTGGCAGGTGCAGGGTCTCCCTCTGCTTGCAAAGAAGGGCCCAGGGAGCTGGGGGCCCTGCCTGGGTCCACATAGCAGGGATTTAAGGTCATCGGCACAGAGCCCCAGCAGCCCGAAGGTCACTGGAGATGATGAGCAGAGCCATGACGGAGTGGCCGAGCCTGGGGCAGGGCTGAGCATGGTCCTGTGCCCTTGGCCGAGTGTCTGGGCGGTCAGGGAGCAGGGCCCGTGCTCACCTCAGCGCTGGCGCAGGAACACATGAACTCCTTTCTCTGCAGAACAGGCTCAGTGTTTCGGGGCCCCTGGCGGGGGCAGCAAGGGGTGGGCCCCGAGGAGGGTGGAGGGGGTCTGGATCTGTGGGATGTCCTCTCTGGCCACTCCTCACCGTCTAAGGGCTTGGCTTGAGGGTCCCCTGCGCTCTCCGCCCCGCCATGGGTGGTCCTGGCCATTGCTACCTTGGCTTGATTGTCTCGGAGGTGCTTCTGCGACCTTCCTGCTCTGCCTCCCTCGGGACTGCGGGGCCCTGTCTGCCTCTCTCCTCTGTGTCTGGGAAGCAGGACTGGGGTGGCCAGGTGAGGCTCCCCGCTGTCCTCCCCCACCCCGCTGTGTGACTTCAGGCGAGTTGCTGCTCCTCTCTGGTCTCTCCTGAGCCTCGGCCATGCACATCTAGCTCATATTTCCTGAATACATTAGGACCAATTTAAGGCAAGGTAAGAGGAGAGGCGTCGCTGGCCGCACGGGACCTTCCGGCAATGGCTGGCTGAGGCTCCTCTGTCTGTCGCAAGCCTGGCGATGCCTGTGCAATGAGCTTGCTCTTGTTATTCCATAAACTCTTTTTTCTAGTTCCCAGATTTTTTTTTTCCATTACAGTAATGAGAATAGCACAGCCAGTCCTAACAGTTGGGTGGGCCCAAGTCAAAGGAGATCCCTCCTGCCATGGTAAGGGAACTGATGGGGACATGAACGCAGAGTAAGTGTTGGCTCGAAGGCATTGAACGTGGAGAGACGGGGTGGAGACGGGGGGCGGGTGACCCCCTTAGAAAGCCCGTGATTCGGGAGAGCGTAACAAAACCGAATAGTAAAGAAAAAGCCAAATCAAGCAGAGCCCCAGTGGAAGCGACGCAGCTACGTGGGGCGGACACGCAGACCTCCGGCCCCGTGGCCCTGCGACAGCTGCTTTGTGGGTTTCATAGAAATTTCTCCATAGAAAGGAATGTGGGGGCCCGGCGTGCCCACAGCCCTGCTCTGACGCCGGGGCGTCTCCCAGTCCTGTCTCCTCACAGAGGAGAGTAGCGAGCCCGACGCAGCTGGCCGGGGTCTGCCCTGTGGGGTCCGTGTTCCCAGTCCCTCTGAGAACAGTCCCAAATCCCGAAGAGGCGTGGCATCCCTGAGACAGCCCGGGGCGGCGGGAGCCAGTCAGCGCGGGCGCCGGGCCCCGGCGGAGCTGCCCGAGTGGTTGATGGGGAGCGGGTGGGCCTCGGTGTTGAACACCCAGTCTTCCAGGGAGAGCACGTCATCATCGGAGAACAGAAGGTAGAGATACCTGCGCCGGACACGGCCGTCAGCCCTCGCCCAGGGGCCTCGGGGCAGGCAGGCCTCAGGCCCGAGCGCTGCTCTGGGGTCGGGGGCACTGGACCTAATCCTGGCTCTGCCCCCAGCCCCCACGCTGTCACCTCACACACAGCCAGTTCACAGGCTGTCTCCCAGGCCCGGCTGGGTACATGAGCCACCCCCTAAGTGGACCACAAGGCCCTGGGACAGACGCTCCCGGGGTGTGGGGACCCCACCCCATCCTAAAGTGTTCAGGGACGAGGGGCTCGCTCCAGGGGTAGTAAGGGGGTGGGGTGGCCACCTGCTACCTCAGGACCCTGCAGAGGCTGCTGCCGGGGTGGGGTGGGGGGACAGTAACAGTGATGGGCAGGGCGGGAGGCACAGAACTGACACTGCCATCACCATCACCATCACCATCATCCCTGTTTCGCGGAGGAGAACGTACTTTGGGAGAATTTTGCAACCCAAGGGGGCTGGTTAAAGAACCAAAGCAACCTGGGAAATCACACGGTGAGCTCCCCGGGGCGTGCAGTGGAACTGGCCCGGCCCCTGGTTCACCTTGGGGCCTAAGCCCTGGAGCTGAGGTCTCCATCCCTCCTGGGCGCTGGTCCTGTGCTCTTGGTGAGGGGCGGGGCCGGCAAAGCCCCCGAGTGCCTCTGGCAAGAACCCGCCCCCCAGGCCCCCACTCACTTGAGGGTCTCCGCCAGGAAGAAGCTCTGCTGCTTGTTGTCGTGGCTGGGGACGACGCTGTACACGTCCTGGATCCCCGAGAACCCGGCTTCCGTGCGGCAGTATTTCTCCAAGGCCTGCTCGGGAGGAAGGCGGCCCCCAAGACTCACGCCTGCCCAGCAGACCAGAGTCCCAGACCCCTCTCTGAGCGGGAGCAGAAGGCTGCAGCACACTTTTGGGGTTCAGCCGCCCTGGCCCAGGCCGCAGGACTCACACTCTCTCCGCCCGCCTCTAAGAACCCTGAGCAGGTGGGCGGCTGCCCCCAGCGCTTCACCTGCCTCTCCTCTCTCTGCCTCTCAGGGCACTCGCTGACCTCACGGATTGGCCCATAGTGGTGGGCGGAGCTTAAAGGGCATGGACTTGCCACACCCCCAGGGTGCTCCAGAGGTGTGTGGGCCCTGGGCTGCCTGCCTCTGTGTGGGACGGCCACTTTTACTCCCTGGGGGGCCTGTGGGCTGGGCACCAGGGCACAAAGCAGTTGGCCTTTGAATGGCAGGAAACAGGGCCCGAGGCAGGCAGTGGCTGAAAAAGAGGGGTCTAAAGCCACTTGACCAGGCTCTGGGCTCAGGACAGCACCTGCGGGACCCCCCAGCCTCCGATGCTCTAGGCCTGCTGACACCCAGGCCAGGCCCCAAAGGCCAAGGCACTCGGGACCCCCTTCCTTGGCCTGCAGGGCCCCGGGGCAGCTCCTGCACAGCAGGGTACTCTTGGCCTGCGACCACGGCATTGACCGCCATGGTGAGCCTGTCCACTCTGAGCCTAGCCAGAGGTCAGCCTGACTTGACCCCTGGCTGGCCGGGGCCAGGGGCTTGCAGCCCGCCCGTGTGTCCTCAGGGGCGCCACTCACCGTCACCACCTCCCAGCCCCACTCCCTGTAGATGGGGTTGTGGGTCTGGCGCCACAGGTACATGTAGCTCTCGACCACCTCGGGCCGCAGTATGTAGTAACTCTCGCTCAGCTGGGTGGCCACCGCCTCTCTGCCGGAGTTGAACCAGAAGGCCTCGGGCCCCAGTTTGGTGTCTGCGGGAAGGGCCAAGCAGGGGGAGTGGTCAGACATTCTGAAAACAGCTGTCCCACAAGAGCTTTCGGCTGCCCGCGAGCCCCTGGCTGGGCGGCCCGGAGTGGGCCCTGCCGGGGCTGCTCCCCGCCCCCGGCCCCGCCAGGCTGCGCTGGGCAGGTGCACCGCATCTTCCTTGGCCTGGGCTGGCCCTGAAGGCCTCCCCACCTTGCGGCTTTGGGCTCCAAGCGTCCCAACGAGCGTCTGGGCAGCTGTGGACTTTGGGATGCCAGCTCTATAGGACGTGACCCGGAAACAGACTCAGGTTGGACGGCGGGTGGGAAGAGGCCGCCGGCCCTGGGGTGAGGGCTGTGCCGGGGGCTTGGAGTGGGTGACTTCAGCCCCTGAGGTGGGGTTTTCAGGTGGTAAGTTTAGGCGCTGTGATCACACACACGCGGACACTGAGGCGCAGAGAGGCTAAGGTATTTGTCCGAGCAGCGGCTGCGCTGCAGGGTGACCCGGGTCAGCCTGAGGTCCTTTCTCCAGGCTCCTCCCCTCCCGAGTGTGAGTCCTTAGCTACAAATTCAGGGCGCTGTGGCAGGGTCTTCCTCCTTCTGGTCCCTGAGGGCCCAGCTCTGTTCTCGGTCCCGTTAGCAGCCCCGGGTGCTCAGAGCCCTGGAGCGCATCGCACCCCTCCACGCAGGGCGCCGGGTCCGGCGCCTTGGTCCTCTCCCACGGCAGAGCTGCTCTGCCAAGTTGCTAATGGGACCAAGGTGGCAGCAGCGTGGCAGGCGTCCGTGGGCTGAGCCTGGCTGGCCGGCACAAGGCGCCCCATTAAGCGGCCGTCTTTTACGGCCCGGGCCGATCGTCCCAGACAAACAGGAGCTTTTTACTATTCCTGAGTTTCCCCGTTTGCTTATGGTCCTGACAGAGCGAGCTCTTTGAAGAGAAGGAGCCAGGGCGAGCGTGTGACTTCCTGGGAACGGCTCTGGCCAAACCAGATTAGCTGCAGTGCCCAGAAGCGGCCGCTGGCCACCCGCACAGTGCCCCGTGTGGTCAGCTGACAGTCACCCTACTGCGTGTCACAGAAACCTCTGCGTCACCAGGGAGACCCTAGCTATTCTCCCCATTGCACAGATGGGGAAACAGAGGCCACTCAGCTTGGCAGCCACGCTTGAGCCTGGGACTTTTGCTGCCAATCTTGGGTCCCCTCCTCTCACTGAGACGGGGACTACGGCGGGGGTCTGGGCAGAGGCCGCGTGCAAAAGGGGGAACCGGACATCACCAGGCCTGCTCGCAGCCCAGGCTCAGCTTCCCGTGAGCAGCGGGACTGGGGCTGAGTCTGCTCCTTTCTGGGCTGACTCAGCTTCCCCGTTTGCTTAGGTAAGGAGACGAGCTGGGCTCAGGCTCTCTGCTGCGTCTTCAGACTCCACACTTGACGATTCGGGGCCAAGTGGGGGGATTAAACGGTGCTTCCAGGGGTGCCGAGGGGAAGGCGGAATGGCAGGGCTTGGGGCGAGGGGTTTTCTGGGCTCAGGGGGCCAACGCCCCAGCCTCGGGGACCAGAGCACACTCTTTCCTGCACCCTCCTCCTTGGCCAAGGCGCCTGAGCCTCAGGGTCCTGTCTGTGCCGCGGGGGCCAGTGGGTGCAGAGGACTCGGTGCATCCTACCCCCCCCCCCCACTCAGGGCGGCAGCTCAGCGCCGGGACACACAGCCCTCCCTTCACCCACCGCTGCCCTGCTGCTCCTTCCAGTCCATCCTGATGTCTAGCCTCAGCCTATGCTGCTGCCCCATCCCCGGCAGGCGTACCTGAGCGGGCGTACGACTCGTGGCACGTCTTGGTGATCTCGGCCGCGAGCTCTCGGTAGTGGTTCCTCTTCTCTTCCTCGGCGTCCTCAGCGCCGAGGGCGATCATGCCCCCCGAGAAACAGGCCAGGTGCCCCATCTTGTGGTCGAGAATCCCCCCTCGCCACTCAGCAATGTAGGTCAGGCCCCCGGGAGAGACATTCAGCAGGTAGGTCTCGATGGCCTGGAGCGAGGCAGGGCAGGGAGCAGAAGGGGAGGGCGAGGCCGGACAATGAGCACCATGGAGATGGCCAGAGGACCTGCTCTGTGGCTTCCTCCCCAGGCAAAGGCGGCCCCGTGGTCCCTGCCAGCCAGGCCCTGACCACTGCTGGCCAGCTGAGGCCTGGAGCCTGTGGGCGGGGGGGTGCTTAGAGCCAGGGCAGGCGTCTCACAGACTTTTACTTCCTTCTACTTTTTTTTTTTTTTTTAAGATTTTATTTATTTGAAAAGCAGAGAGAGAGAGAGAGAGAGAGAGAGAGAGAGAGAGAGAGAAAATCTTCCATCTGCTGGCTCACTCCCCAAATGGCTGTAATGGCTGGAACTGGGCCAGTTGGAAGCCAGGATCCAGGAGCTTCTCCCAGGTCTCCTGCATGGGTAGCAGGGGCCCGAGCACCCGGGCTATCCTCTGTTGCTTTCTCAGGCAAATTAGCAGGGAGCTGGATTGGAAGAGCAGCAGCTGGGGCTCGAACTAGGTCCATATCAGATGCTGGCATTGCAGGAGGTGGCTCATCCTGCTCCGTCACAACGCCAGCCCCCTGCCAAACACTTAAAATCTTTTAAGGTCGGATGGCGGTGTTAGGGTGCAGTGGGTTCTGCCACCTCCTACAATGCCGCATCCCGTATGAACACAGGTTTGAGTCTGAGCTACTCGGCTAGTGCACCTGGAAAAGCAGCCGGAAATGGCCCAGGTGTTTGGGCTCCTGCCACCCATGTGGGACACCTGGATGGAGTTCCTGGCCCCTGGTGTTAGCGGGTCCCAGTCCCAGGCAATTGTGGTCATTTGGGGAGTGAAGAAGCAGATGAAAGATTCTGTCTTTGCTTCTCTCTGCCACTCTGCATTTCAAATAAATAAAGTAAATCTTAACAAAATTCTTCAAGGGGTTATCATTCTCCTTTACGTGCTCTGCTGGGAGGTCTTAGCCTGAAGCCCAGCTGGTCTATGGATGGGTTTGGGGGTCCAGAACACTCCTAAAATTGTACCCAACACTTCTGGGGATGTGTCTTTATGGGAAGACAACTTTTTTTTTTTTTTTTTTTAATCAGATTCGCCAAAAGGAGCATGGAGAATTAAGAGCTGCTCCCTGTGTGTCCTTTATCAAAGGTTTGTTCAATTAGGCATATGGGCTGTAGCGCCCTCTATAGAAAAAAGGGTGCAGCGGCCTGCCCAGGACCACCAGCCACACCCATGGAAGCCCAGGGCCCTGCTCCTCTACCCGCCATGGCCGCTAGGAGGTTGGGGGCAGGTAGGTCTGTAGCCATCATGCCCGACTCCCTGTGGGCAGTCCTGGGAGATGGGCTACCACGGCTTCAGCCCTGGGCCTGTGGCAGGGGCTCTGGGCAGTCCTCGGTCCCCTCTTGCCCCCCGAGCGGGGGCTCAGCAGGCACTGGCTCAGAGCCCTCAGGGCCTCCCAGGGCCTTTAGGCCTCAGCCCAGCGAGTCATGGCCCCTGAGAGGCCGCCCCCGATTGCTGAGGTCTGACCTGGCACCTTGGACATGGCTCTGGGCGCACACGCTTTGCGTTCGGTGCGTCTCCACCAGCTCCAATTCCGCAACACTGGGCAGCTCACAGGCTCTGTGTGCCTCTGTTTCTTCGTGTGTGAAGTGGGGAGCAGTGCATGAACTGTCTCAGGGTGAGAAGTGAACGAGCTGCACCCTCAGGGGCTGGTGTATTCCCCAGCAGAGTCCCTGTGGTTCCCTGCTGCCAGTCCCCCGCCCCTCCCCTTACGCCACACCCCAGCCACAGCGGCCTGGGTACAAGCATGTTCCCTTCTCCGCCTCAAGACCATTAGCCACTACCAGTGCCAGCGCTGGGCAGGCAGCTGCCGTGTAGACGGGCCTGGGCCCAGCTCACCCTAACAGACCCCCAGCAAGCCAGATGTGCGAGAATTCCAATGGGCTCGGCCTGCAAAGAACCCAACGGCAAAGACGAGACAGAAGCACTGGGAGCGCCCTGCCTGGCAGAGGGAGGTCAGAGGCGGTCTCTGCGCAGTGACCGTGGCAATGCTGACCCGCCTGCCGCAGGGACTCCCGGAGCTGCATCTCCTCGCCCACTGCTCTGCCCCAACTGTGTTACGTCAGGCTCGGCTGTGAGGCCTCCTCCGGGGCAGCTTCCTTGGCGGGATGCCCCGACTTCACGGGCACTCGCCCCACTACTGTGCGTCCTACTCCCATACCTGTCAGCTTTCAGTAGCGTGGCAGTCACGCTGGGCAGTTTGATGAGGACCCGTCTTCCTCCCAGGACTGCGAGTGCTGCGGGCAGCAAAGCCACAGGCAGGGCCAGGCTCAGGGGGATGCCAAAGCAGTTCCCTCTCCTGTCAGGGCCCAGCGCCCTCACTGAGTGGCAGATGGACAGGTGCTGGGGATGTGGCAGGCTGGGATACCTGCTGAGTGGAGGGAGCACGGAGAGGCCTGGCAGCTGCTGGGCGTGGCTAAGCATGGGGTCAGGGCTAGCACAGGGCCAAGTCCTGGCTCCGAGTCACCAGGTGTGAACTGGAGAGAGCACAGACCTCCGGGGAGGCCCCCGGGTGCCGGGCACGGATGCGGGCAATCTGCACCCTGCAGACGGCTTCCAGACACATCCCGAGCTGAACTGCGCAATCACAGTAAAGACGAGACGGCAGACCCGTGTCTCTTTGGAGACACAGTTGAGACACGCAGATACAAACACAGGAAATGCGGCTTTCTCAAGCAGAAGATGGCGTGGGCTGGTGACCCACTAGTCAAAGGTCAACTTTGGTCGAAGTAAAACCGGACCACGCCCTGAGTCTGGGGTTGGCGCTGGGCTCGACTGCGGAATCGGTGACACCGGGCACACCATTCCACTTGTCCAAGACTCTTAGCTGATGACATGGGAACAATGATTTGTGGAGCCCACCTGGGTGCTCCTGGGGGATTTCATGATAGCCAGACTTTTCTCTGCCGTGGCGGCTGGCCAGCAGGGAAGCAGCGCGGGGTTTGGAGCCAGTCAACACCACGCATGCGTCCCGACCCTGACACTTGTTGCTGTGGGATCGGGGCCTCTCTGAACTTCATCTTTATCATGTGTAAGAAGGATGTTCAGCAAGACCAGGTACTTCAGAGTGTTTGCCTGCAGGAGACCCGGGGTGTGCCCAGTTGGACCGGCCTGCACCTCCCATGCCCACACCGGCTGGACACAGGTCTAACCTGGTGACTTCCAAGCTGAGGGGCTGGTATTGTGGTGCAGTGAATAAAACTGCCTGCTGAGACACCCGCATCCCTTTGGCGCTAGTTCAAGTCCCAGCTGCTCCACTTCTGATCCAGCTCCCTGCTAATGCCCTGGGAAAAGCAGAAGAAGATGGCCCAAGTGTTTGGACCCCTGACACCCAACGTGGGAGGCTCACGGCTTTGGTCTGGCCCAGCCCTGGCCATTGTAGTCATCTGGGGAGTGAACCAGCGGATGGAAGATCTCTCTCCCTCTCTGTAGCTCTTTCAAATAAACAGTAATTTTTTAAAGATTTATTTATTTGAGAGGCAGAGTAATAGAGAGAGGGAGAGACACAGAGAGAGGACTTCCATCTGCTGTTTCACTCCCCAAAAGACCACAATGGCCAGAGCTGGATCAGAAGCCAGGAGCCAGGAGCTTCTTCCAGGTCTCCCACATGGGTACAGGGGCCCAAGTTCTTGGGCCATCTTTTGCTGCTTTCCCAGACCATTAGCAGAGAGCTGGATCAGAGTGGAGCAGCTGGGATTCAAACCGGCGCCCATAGGAGATGCTGGCGCTGCAGGCAGAGTTTAATCCAGTATGCCACAGCACCAGCCCCAAACAAGTAAATCTTAAAAAAAAAAAAAAAAGAAGAAGAAGAAGAAGAGCTGATCCGATTGGCTTGGGGTGTGGCTTGGGCATGGGGCTTTCAGAAGCTCCCCAGGTGACCCCAGGGGCAGGCAGAGGTGAGAATCTTCTGTCCAGACAGCAGTCGCCAAGGGCACTGCACACTTCCCAGTGCTGTCGCCAGGCCCCACCCCCGAGGTTCTGGTGTAGCTGGATGTGGGATTACATAAACTCCCAGGGTGAGTTTAACATGCGATCAAGGTGAGGACAGCCAGGACATTCTTCAAAGTTCCAAACTTGCCAGAGGCCCAGCTTCACTGGGGTCAGAGCCGCCCAGGGCTCATCCGCGGGGAGATCAAATGTGGGAGTGAGGCTGAGCCCTCTCCCGCGCCATCCAGGGCTTTCCTTCAGCCCCAGCTTTGCTTAAATAATTCATGGCCACCTCTTCCCTTGAAGCCGCAACCCCAGGGTGCCCCGAGGGCAGGCAGCCAGGCTGCTCGGGAAGCTCAAGTGTACTCTGCAAAGAACCGGGAGAAAGGCGCCGAGCAGACAGGGGACGCTGGCGCTGCCGAGGCCCGGCGTGGACAGGGCTGGGCCCGGAGTCCAGGAGCTGCTTCGTGACTGGGATCTTGGTGCTGGGGAGCCGGGCAGGGAAAGGTCACGGCTGAGCCCACAGTTTAAAGGGCCCACAGCTCCGGAGGTCTCTTTCTATGTTCTTTATGTACTGTCATTTCTGGCCAAATGTGGGGGAACAGAGGGTACTCGGAGCTCAGCTATCATCCACCCAGCCACTGGACTGCCTGCACTCACCCTCCCACTCTTCGATCCACCCACCCATCTCCTCTGGACCCACTGGATTGCCCCTACCCACCCACCCACTCATACACCCTTCCATCCACCTGCCCACCACCCATCCATCCTTCCCTTCAACCATCCTTTATGTATTCACCCATTCTCTTATCACAAAATAGTCACTGGGTGCCTACTACGCACCAGGTTCTGTTTTGGGAGGGGGGCATACGGGGTAAATGCAGATGAGGCCCCTGACCTCGATCACTCACGTTCTACTCGGGGCAGATGAGTCATGGAGCAAGCACACCCGCGCACGGGACAGTTTCAGACACTGATAAAGGTGAGGAAGAAAGCAAGCCTGGGTGGGGGGAGAGGCTGGGAAGGTAATTGCAGGAGCATCTGGCACTACCGGGAGAGGGGCCGGTGAGTGCAAAGGTCCTGAGGTGGGACTACGCCTCGAGTGCCTGGGGAAGCGGAGGGAAAAGAGTGAGGAGATGAAGTCAGGGCATTCGGCAGGGCTTCGGCCAGGTGGGGCCTGGTGGGCAAAGGGGAGGGGTCCGTTCACGCCAGTGCCGAGGGAGCCACGGGAAACGCCTGAGTTTCCAGCTCTTCTGGCTGCTGTGTGCAGAGGGACTGAGAGCAAAGAGGGAAGCCCAGAGCCCAGTTAGAGGCCGGAGGTGGACGCTGGGACCAGGTGGTCGCTCAACTCACTTTATGGGGAAACTGAGGCCCAGAGCTTGCCCGGTGCTGTTTCATCAGTTGGGCTCAAAGCCGGCTGTTGATGGGCTGTGGGATCCCCTCACCCCCTTCTCCATATCTCGAGCTAAGCAGCCCCCTGCTTGCATCCCCTCCTCGGAGGGATCAGTCAGCCTGCCACCTCGTCATGCCACACGCCAGGCACAGCCGCGGCACTGCCAGCTCTGCCGCTCTGCACTGCGAGGCCTTGAGCGAGCGCCTTTTCCTGTCTGCTTTGGCTCCCAGCCACACAGAGAGGGACCAGGCTGCACCCGGCCTCCCCGGCTGGGCCACACTCATGGTCACGTCTGGTGGTCTGGCACAGTCACTGGAGCAAACACCGGCATGGGTGGGGGACTTCTGAACCGGCTGTCCCTTCCCAGGGGACTGTGAACAACCTCCCTTGGGCTTGGTGTTCCATTTTCGGGGAGAGTCACTAGGGTATGACGTGCCCAGCTGGGGAGGCACCCCCCCGCCCGCGAAGAATGCAGGGTACGTCTTACCTCTAAGGCTTCGTAGTACATGGTTTTAGCCTCCACATCTGTCTTGGCCGACATCAACCAGGATTTGATCAAATATTCATAAAAACTGTCCCCGAGTCCTCCGACTGAGACGTGCTCTGTCATGGGCAAGAGGCGAGAACGTCATTACCCGCCCGTGCCGGCTGCCGGGGACTAACTGGGTGGCAGCGTGTATCCCACCCTGGGGACCTGGAGCCATGTGCACGGCTGGGAGCCGGCATCTAACGGGCAGCGACTGAGGGGCTGGCAGGAAACTGGGCCGGGCCGGGCCGGGTCAGGCTGAGCCGAGCAAGGCTGGCCCCACGCATCCGGCTGCAGCAGGCTGAGCACGCAGAGCCGCTGCTTATGAACCACAGATGAGCTGCATTTCTTTAAAGAGAGAACCTGGTGGCGGGGAGTTCGGAGCTTTTATTACCCAAGGGCAGACGTGGCGACGACTGTCGGGTGGGAGGAGGAACTCGGGATAAACGGGGCTTCAACTCAGCAAATCAGGGCAGGACAGGAGAGAAGCTCT